AAGGTTTGAAGGTCAACCCTGCATTTGGTGAGTCAAACTCTTATCAACATGGTCCACGCACTCACTTGTGTTGTGTACCCCAGATATCAGGTATGTTAAAATGGAAGTGTCTGTGCCTAAAGATAATCGTGCAAGAGAAAACCTGAATTCCTAAACTTGGGGCTTGCAGACTGTTAGACAGAAAAGGTATTTCTGAAAAGGTATTTCAGTCCTGACTCTTTATTCTCACTCCCAGATCAGAAAGCACTCTTCATTGTTTCTCTGTTCTGCTGTTTCTTTTTCTTCTGGTATCTTGATTCTGACTAGAGTCCAAAGGCAGTGTATTCTTAAATAAACTTGCCTTTGTGATGAGTAATCATCGCATATATTGCTTACATATGCAGCAATATAAAGCATTCAAGGACTAAAGCCAAGCTTGCCCTTCTAAGATTTAGACAGCCATCTTGAGTTTCCCCCATTTACAGAAATTCTCAGACATCATCAACAGGATGTAGGGCAAATGAATGACCAGATTGACCAACTAAAAGGGGTATGTTTGTTCACTGTAGCATCCCTCTTCATGCCTATCTTCCTCTTCCATTGGGACAGCCTGTGCTGAACACAAAGTAGGAGATAGGCAAGCACTGCCTTAAATGTGGCCTTTTTCAAGTTACTGTACCACTAAATTATAATAACTAAATTATAGTACAGTATACTACCTGTAAGCCAATGCTAATGTTGCAACATGAAGGAGTTATGAGCAGAAAACCACACGTGGCCATATGCCAAATGCTTGCTAAGTTCAAATCCCAGCTCTAGATGATTATTTCTTGCATTAATCAGTTCAAACGGAGCTAAAATAAGTCACTAGCTGCATGTTTACCATTTTCCTCTCCATGTGGCATTTATCTTTACTCATCTGCTCAGAAAGTTGTGAAGGAAAGTAAATAAAATATTCCATGCTTCTTCCTGAGTTGACATTAGATGCAAGTGAACTTGGAAGTAATTTCAGCTAGCAGTATACCAAAATACCCAAAGATCTTTTGTTTCATACTTAAACACAAACTTTTCTATGGAATATCTGTTATGGGATTAAGTACGACCACCTTTATTTCATGCTTTAATTTTGCTGAGGATATTTTATCACTATTAGATTTGGGAATTACAGGAAAGTATATCCTGCCTAAGACTTTATACCTGAAATTGAAAAAGCTCATTATGTTTTTTCAACTTTTCCTATTTCTGTAGTATGATGATACCCCTAAATATTTCTAGTTGCTATTTAGTCTTTTTTACTACTTTCACTAAAATGTACTGGGAATGATGTTTATCACATGCTGATGAAAAGAAATAAAGGCCTGATGGGAGTCATGCTTTTCTGGAAGAGAGATATGATATTCTGTGGACCAAAATAAAAATGCAAGTCTTCCATATTGCCTTCAAACAACTCCATCTCTTCCTCCAACAGCAATACAGCAAGAACATTGGATGCAATTCAGAGGAAAAAAACAGATTTCACGCATCTGTTCTTTATCAGTTATTCAATTTAGTAGTGCCATGTTCATTAGAAAATGTTCCTAGTTCAGTTACTGTTCTATCCTTTTTTGCATTTGATTTTCTGCCTCTGCTGCAACTCTGAAATGTTGGCTCTGCAGTACACAGCTTTTCCCACTCCATTTATTAACCCAATAGTAACAGACCAATTAATGTTAGCATTTAAAGGTCATGACTGGGCTTCACAATTCCTATGTCAATAACATTAGTAAGAAATAAGAAGTTACCTTAATTTCTTACAGAATATATCAACAAAGGTAGATTCCCATATTAACTTCTGTGACTTGCAACCCATTATTGATTAAACAGTCCATGTCAATGAACTGTTTGCTGTCTAGTTTATATTTGTCCGACTCAAACACCCTGAAGCGTATTGAAATATGAAATATGTTTGTGTAAAAAAAAACAAACTCTGAAAGAGACATTTGGTATGATATGATTTTTCATTTTGATAAGATTTATTGTGTTATAGATTCAGTGAATAATTCAGATTGGAGGGGATCTCAGGAGGCAGTGTAATCCAGCCTTCCACAGGGTCAGCCATGAGATCAGTTTGTGTTGCCCTAGTCTGGTTGTGAAACTCTCCAAGTCTGGAGACTGCTTGAATGTCTTCATGTCTGGAAAGGCCTTGTTTGTTTCTGTTTATCTACATTGTCTACTGCTCCACCAGGCAGCCCTGTGAAGAGCTTGCCTCCATCCCTTGGTAGCCTCTTTGCAAGTGCTGGAAGGCTGCTGTTAAGTACTTCCAAAGCTATACCTTCTCCAGGCTGAACATGCCTTTCCTGTTCCCTCAGCCACACTTCACCATCTTGATGGTCGAGGAGTACTGACCTCACCCCAGTTCAAGGTTTTTCTTGTTCTGGGCTCCCTATTTAGCAGTCTAAATGTGGTGTAGTGAATGCTGAATGGGGAGGGTTAATGACTCCTTCCTGTGTTCCTGTTCGTACCATCCGCAATGCTTTTCAATGTACCTTGTTTCTTCACTTATTTGTAGTATAAATTACGTGAGCTGAAATAAATAGATTACTGTATGTCATGCAGGTGCACAGTATTACGGAAACCCCATTGCATCTATTCATGCTTATATTTCCACCCAGTAAGATGATTTTTCCTTACTGAATGAAGTACATCAATCAGATTGAGAGAGGTATTACTTTATTTCACTAAATATTTCATCTTTGTAAAACTTCAGTTCCTTTTTTTTTTTTTTGTTTATCTGGGAATAAGTTTCAGGGATACGACAAAGACACTCAAACCAATGGAATTGCTTTGTGATCAGTTAAGATTTGTAGGCAGAGGCTACAGGCCCTTCCATGCAAATATGAGTCTTTCCAAAGCAAATAAAAAGCACAGAGAGGCTATCTCTGTTTGAAATCAGCAAACCAAAGTCTGTTGTTTTGTTTTGCTTATAAATACAGACTACTCAACCAATTCTACCAAGTTTGGTTCATTTTAAAGGAAAGAATGAATACAGCAAGCAGGAATATTTGTCTACATATAGTTCAACATGACGAAGATATTGATTGTGATTTTCTGCTCAAAGTTTAATTACTTTCTTTGGCTTAATCACCAGAACTCCACCTACAGTGAAATGTACTTCAAAGTAATACAATTAATTTTAATGTTGAGTCACCAAAGATGTTATTAGTTTTGGCTTACAGTACAATTTACTGATTCAGAATTTTATTTTAAACTGAACTTCAAATTGGTTGTGCAGAAGAACAAGAATTAGCTTGCGTAGAAGGTAAAACATTTTATAAGCATTACTCTTCCTCTTGTCATCATTTTTCTTTTCTGTTATGTTTTCTTATATTCTGGTTGCTCTATGTATCGTGACTAGAAGTTTTGGGTTTTGTTTGATCAAAATGTTTGATTTAGACATCAAAACCCAGAAGTGGGTCACTGTAAAAACATCTTGTGATATTTAAAAATAATTTGCCTTTATCAAAACCTCAACAAAAGCAATGGCATTTGTGAAAATCATTGCTAATGAATGTATTGATAATGTGGGGGTGCTGAGGATTTATAAGATTAAACATTCACGCTCATTATTGCACTGTTACGGTGCTAACCTCTCACCATGTCATAATATGTCTGAGATCTTTAAATAAATATGCTTTGCTATGACATGAACTGAGTTTGGATTGATAGGAATCTCTGCTATTGAAACACAGCTATTTCTCAGATATTGAAATCAGTACAATTATCATCTTGGATTTTTTAGTCAAATTCTTGCTAGCACGCACAAATATTGACCTTGATACTAAACCCTTTTACTTTTGATTATTTTCTCTTCAGTAAATAGGGAATACAAATTAAAAGAGAGAGCAAGAAAGAGAAATGATGTGTATATGGAACAGACAGCAATTTAGACTATTAGAAAAGTGTGTTTTAGTATTTCAGCCAGCTGTGTCTAAAGCAAATTGTTTTCACAGAACATTCATTGAGGCCATCTCTGTTCATAGCGAAGAACATCACTTTAATTCTTAACTAATATTTCTGTAGTGTGTTCCAGAACGATGGTCTGCGTTTTCAGTACAGTCAGTTTTCTCATCTAGAAATTACCTTGTTTTTACTCTGTATGGATACACTGAAGATTTCAGATCAGGAGATGTGCCAACCTGCTGAGATGTCAGCCTACACACTGCTAACTCGGGACTGGAAAAACTCGTTGTTCTCATGGGAGAGAGGGCTGCAGTGACCTCAGCAGATGCCTGAAGTGTAGAAACAGCTTTACCGATACCATTACTTTCCAGAGCCACCGGAGAATGTTTTGCTATTTTTGCAGAAGTTCTGCAATGTTAGAACTGCGGGACTTTAGTTAGATTGTAAGGCATGAGAGCACAATTTTCTATGTATCAAAAAAAAGAAAGGTTAGTGGGATATTTTAGTATCGCAGAAGGATCATCTTAGTCTTGAAAATGAGTAGATGGTTTTGGCTACAGCTACAGAAGAGACTAACCTGAGGTTTGTGTATGAACTGGGATATGTACTAATGAAATATAACGAGTTTAATAGCTGGTGAGAACAGAACCTAAAGGGAAAAAAAAAAAAAAAGCAAATTCCTGGCCAAGTTAGCAAGCAGTGCTGCTGGCATCCCTGACCTGCAGGGTACCTCAGAGAGCAGCACCGGCAGATGACTTCTCAGGGCCTTTGTGCAGCCCGTGGAGGAAACCCCATGGATTGCAGGGGACAACCGCTCCCTCACACCACCTTTCAGCGGCCCTCGAGCACCGCGCCTGGTCTGTACGTAGCGGGAAGTGCTGACGCCCGTCCCGCGGGCTGCCGAGCGGGCTGGGGGCTCTCCCGCCGCTCCGCTCCCGCGCGTTTCACCGGCACAGCCCGCGAGGAGCGGGCGGAAGGCACTGCCCGCCCTTCGCCGCTGGGTGCCGCCGTCTGACAGCGGGCGCCGCGCCGCCGCGATCCCCCGGCCCGGCGGGAGGCGCTGCCGCCGAGCGGAGCGGAGCGGAGCCGAGAGGCTGCCGGGAGCCGCCATTTTCTCAACGCGCGGCGCCGGAGCGCTTCCCTCAGCCGGGGTCGGTGAGGAAGGTACGCGGCGCGGTGAGCGTCAGGCGGCCGCGGCGCGCACGGAGTGGTGGGCGGGCTCCCCGCGCGGGGTGGGGACGCTCCGTTCCGTCCCTGGCGCTGCTCGGGACCCGACGTGCAGAGGGTCGCGGGAGCGGCCGCCGCGCCGGGAGGCGTTGCCACGGGGACGGGCGCGCCCCCTCAGCCCGGAGCGGAGCCGCCTGAGGGCTGCGCGCTGCTCGGGTGTTCGCTCGTGGGAAAAATGGCTTTGTGATATCGGCTGAAGCACGCAGTCACGGAGCCTCTGCTGCCCGGGGTTGTGATCTCACGTACAGCTGTGTCTCCGCGCACTGGAGCTGTGCCTGAGTTACCTTGTGGATGCTGTGCCTGAGTTACCTTGTGGATGCTGTGCCTGAGTTACCTTGTGGATGCTGTGCTTGTTACCTTGTGGATGCTGCGGGGCTCCCACAGCGCGCTCTTTTCTTCGCTTGCACAAAAAGAGAAAACGTTTTGCGGATGGACACTGGTCTGCTGCTCAGTGGTCATTTTGAACTTTGCCTCCTTCGCCTTTTCTTCCTTTCTTTCTTCCGCCTCTTGCTTTGAAGAATCTTCTTTCTGTTCTTTCAATAAAAATTCAGTTCTGTTCAGGTTTTCTCGAGTGAGGTCCTTGTTCACTCCTTGTTCAATTCTTCACTTGTAATTCAGGGCACTTCAGGCAGTTCTCTTTGGCACAATAGCTATGTGTTTATGCTGATCTATTTCTCTCTAACGTTCAGTGTGGTTCTGTCTCTGTACTATTGCCTACCTGATCCTCCTATCGGACTGCTAGCTTCCATATCCGTGGATGTAAGGGCTGGTTTTGGTCTTGATGATTGCAGTGCTTTTTAATTGTGCTGTCAGTGGGCATTTGCTGAAAGCTGCATTTGTTCTTGAAGCTACTTTCATATATTTTTGCAGATCTGCTTTGTCTTGTCATTGCTGTTATCTCGTGGTGTGATTTTAGTACTTCATATAGCTAACTGGAAGGACTTTCTTAAATGAACAACCAGAAACTCTAAGGCCTTATACTAGGCCAATTTGGAGGGAAAAGCAACCAACCAAAGGAAAAAAAATGCCTTATTATCTAGACAAAATGTCAAATCCTTTCTTAACTAATAGCTTGATGCAGTTAAATTAGATGTATACTAATTTAATTACTCACTTTTTCTCTTGAAATAACTGCGTAAGACAAACTCACTCTACGAAAGCAAGTTTTCCTTTGGGAATTTTTTTGAATAAGTCTTTATTTGTTTTTTTTTTTGTTGTTGTTTTGTTTTTTTTTTTCCATTTCTTAAGTACTTCCTTTTGCTGTCTTGTGTATTCTCTAAAGGGCCCTAAATAAAACTACACGTACTTCTGTCCTTCGGAAGATGGACACCCACACCATTGGCCAAGAAGGGCAAAGAAATGAGTTAATGGTAGCTGTGTACTTCCTCTGACCTTGCTCCTTGTAACCAGCAGTGGGAGTGAAAGAACTCTGATGTGGGTGTGGTGGTGTTTTTTTTTTTTTGTCTGCTGCAAGTGATATGAGACAGACTTGCTTCTTTTATCAGAACAGTTAGAAAATGTGTGTTCCTATCAAAGCTTTTGAAATACGAAGGTGGATTTTGCTGCAGGCTTCTGTGTACCTTTGATAGTGATGGTGCACCTGTTGCTGTACTGCCTGGTTGGGCGAGACAGCCAAAGTTGAAGAGTTGTGGAATATCCAGTGCATAACTTGATGAAGAACTCCATGTGAAGGAAAAGATTTCTTTATTTTTATTTATTTATTTATTTATTTGTTGCCTAAAGATTGGTGGAAAACAGGTGAAAGCAATATCTGCTTTGGTTAATCTGCTGCTGACCTTGGTTGGTGACAGGGTACTAATTTCTCAGGGGAAAGCCATTGTAAATACCCTTTGCATTCCTCTTATTTTCTATCAGGAGTTAATGGGTGTAGTCTCTTGGAGCTTCTTATTTTTCACATCAAGAGATCCCTGAGAAGTTCTATTCAGAAGGCTCTGAACACCACTATTGAAAGTCAGGCTCTAGAAATAGATTTCTGAACCTAAGGGGAAGAAAATGGCAGTTGTGCAGGAAGGCTGAAGGTGCAGGAAGGAAGAAGGTGTGTTACATAGCCTGAATTAGGTTGTCCTTCAGGACTAGGAATGCTAGTATTTTAATTGCTGACATTTTGTAACAGCTCAGACGATGTCACAGAATATTTTATTTTTTCGCCTTTTCTATGCTTGGTTGGTTGGGTGGATACCAGCAATAAGATGTTTGACCCCTTCATATGTTGCTGTTGAGTAGGTGAAGAAGAGACAGAAGTTGATTTCACGAGGAGAGTTTCTGCACATCTAGTTTTAGGAACATTTCCTTTTTTAGAAATGGAAATTGTAATACTGTGTGCACAACTGAAAATTGTTACCGGAGAAGCTGTGTGCTTTCTGTGTTAATTTTGGACTTGATGACTATCCAAAATCTTCTTTACTAGAGGGCAGGTTCTATTTTAAAGCTTGCTTAGCGGAATCTTGTTGGAATTGAGAAGCCATCCTCAGTGAACAGTGTCACTTATGCAATATAAAACATAAAATGAAGCTGCATGTGTCTTGAAGTTCGCTGTCCTTCCCCTTCTGTGTCCTGAACATTTTCTTATTAAACAGAAGGGCAAGCTGAATGCTTTCAACAGATGCAATTTTCACGTTTAATTTCTGGTTCTGTGTTAGAATTAGTCCTCAAGTCATCCCAACTTGCTAACAAACTTCAAATTAAAGTACAGGGGATAGATAATTCAAGAGATTCCAAGCTCACAGCTGTGTGTATGCACACCAGTTTGTAGGTGTATCATTTCAGCCCATCAATGAATGACCAAGCACTGATGCTAGTCATTTGGGGAGTGCCGTGGTGCCGTACCCATGGGCTGCCTTTTGGCACAGATGAACTTTGCTGTGTGAGCAGCCCTGCTGGCAGAGGTCATGGGCTCCCTGCGCTGCCCTGCTGCTGCAGCTTCTTCCTTTATAATCCCAAGGATTCAGCAGTTTTGCTGTAGCATTAATCGTTTCACTGTAGCTGAAGTCCAGTCTCATTATGTCCCCTTGAGGAGAGCTGATCTCTTGTTTAGTCTTTTCCCTCAGTTATATAAATGTTTTCTAGCTGAGCAGTAAAAGCGTGTGATACTGCAAGCTGGAGCACAGCTCATACTTGAGAAGGGAGGTGTACCCAAGGTCACTGCAGGTTTTGCCTGGCAGTTTTTATCATTGTCCATTTAGTTAATATATTCCCATTGACTGGCTTTTTCTTTCTCCCCTAACCAAGAAGAGCAGAAGCTCAGTTGTATTCCTGCAGAGATACAATTTATAATCGCTGATGGATGCTTTTTTTCCTGTTTTTAACTCATTTGCTTGGGAATTGACCCCAGTCACTCCTAATTTCGGGTTTTAGGGTTGGAACTGTACAGCTTGCTTCTTTGCTTACTGAAGTTGCTTTGTTTAGCTCAGGTACGTGTGTCTGTTTTGGTCAGAGCTGTTAGGGTAGGTGCTTTGTAAAGGGCTGCAGCTTGTCTAACTCAACTTGGAGGCAACTAATGGTCATCCTATTAAGTTACCTTAGCTTTAAAAGAAAACAAACCAGTCCCCTGAAGTACTGGTAGGCTTTCATGGATGAAAGTGTTTCAATTTGGAGTGTTGTATTAAATACGGATTCTAAGCTCTTCACTATCAAAACCAATGGTTCTGCAAGTTCAGCTGCAATTCTCTTACACAGATCTTGATGTTAAATTGAATTCCCGTTAATAATACAGAAGTGTATGAACTGAAAGTTCTAAAGTTAAAGCATGAAAATGATACGGAATGCAAATTTTGCATCACTTAAATTATACTTCTCAAATATATGTAGAATATAAAAATGAATAATCTTGTGAAAAAATACATTTTTGTTTTCCCTTTATGTAATTGTTTTGTGGTGGTACAGAATTACAAATGTGTAAGAGGCCTTTTATAAGAGGGAGACTGGTAAAATATTTAAGAACATTCAGTTATTAGTAAGGGATATGGGAACAGCATGGCAAAAACTGATAAGCCGATTTTCCAAAGTGTGCAAAAAAAAAAAAAAAAAAAAAAAAAATTCCATGTACATTAAATTGATTATTTCCATACAGTTCATCTGGAAAGAATGCTTATAGAATCTCCTTAAGCTCAAAAGGTGCAATTCCAAGTGATCTGTAATTTAAAAATGGCAGCTAAATAACACAGTTTTCTGTATGGCTACAAGAGCACAGTGCCTCTCTTGATCAATATTTTGTTATATTTCCATTTATGCTAGATATAGAACAGTCATCCTACTAGAACTGCTTGAGAAATTTGACACTTTTTCCTTTTTGTATGCTTTGTTTTGGGGGGGTTATGTGAAGGTGGGTGCTGTTGGAGTTAGTTCTCTGCCTTTGCCTTTAGTCTCTCTTTCCACCTTGTTCTCAATATGCTTGAGGTTTGGATTTGGTGGGAAGTTTTTACTTTTTTTTTTTTTTTCTTCCATTCTCCTCTACCTTATTTTTAGGTACTGTCATCTGTAGGCAATTCATTTCAGTGGCAGTAACTGTCAGATCTAAACTTCTGCTTTGGATAGGTTTTCTCGTGTCAAAATTGAAAAGGCCAACCTCTCTTTTGCACTTTGCTGTGTATGAAGCACTTGCAAGGAGCTTCATTCCTTCCTTTTCCCCAATGGGAAGCTAAGCTAACTAGGGCTGGTCTGAAAAGCCTATGTATCAGCTGATGCACTTAGATAAGATTTGGTGCCAAAGCAAAGGATGTTGTGTAGGTACCTTCCCTCTTTACTTCAAACAAGCAAAATGACTAGTTTTTGGTTTTTTTATATCACTACTATATGTAGATATGAATGTGCTCAAATTTGTAAATACTTTTAAAGCTTCCTTCCTTATTCATCTTTGTAAGTACAGCTCAGTGAGTAGCTGCTTCTTTGCTCAAATTGCAGCTGAGCAGGCACAAAGT